AGTTTGGAGGAGGGTGGACCATGGATGATGGGACTTCAAGTACCTTCACTCACTTCCTGAAAACAATGCAACCATCATCCAATGACCAATAAAGACCAAACTTGGCATACAGAACCTCCATTACCCACTTTCTCTCGTAGCCAAGCAGTGTTTCAAACTCTAATAATAATAATAATAATAATAATAATAATAATAATAATAATAATCCTTTATTTGTACCCCACTACCATCTCCTGCAGGACTCGGTGCGGCTTACAAGAGGCCGAGCCCAAAGTACATCATTAACAAAAACACAACAGACAACAATACAATGCAACAATAAATAAGCAAGCAATAAAACAATAACAAAAGCATGACACTGTTAAAAACCTGTGGCAGGGCCAAATGTAATAGTTAAAATTCTAAAAATGCTGGGCATGTCCAGGTGAGGTAGACTGGATATTTTCGGAATAGAAGGGTGTGCAGACAATTCTAACTCTCTCATAAAGTGCATTAGGGACAATTGCTTGGGATTCCTTAATCTGGGAAGGCACACTGGAACATCCATGTTTTCAAGCTCCTTCTGAAGACTGCCAGTGTTGGGGAGTGCCTGATGTCCTTGGGGAGGGAGTTCCAGAGTCGTGGGGCCACCACCGAGAAGGCCCTGTCCCTCGTCCCCACTTCCATAACCAAAAGGCGTGCAGCAATTGTTTCTCGCCATCCTAGAAGAAAATGAAGAGAGAGGTGCCTTGGGGACTTATCTTTTTTGGGGGGGGGGGTGGGGGGAAATTAATCAACAACTTAAAGAAGCAGTAGAAGGGATGCTCATACAATTGGCAAGTGACACCATCATTCTTGGGTATTAGCAAACGGAAGGTGTAACTAAAATCTCAGATCAAAGGGATGGGATTTGAGTTGATCTTGACAGGGTGGCGAATCAGGCTTATCGAAGTATACACAGGCAGAGTGTCGTGATTTCCATGTTGGAGATCTGGGTTCGAATCCCTTGAGGTTCAAGCTTCTTTTGCTCTTGGGGGCCTCTCTCCTTGAACCCCTTCCTTCCTTCGTTCCGGAGGCTTTTGTCTTCCGCTGGAGCGGTGCTTGTCCTCCTCCCGGCAACCCAATGCGGCGGCGCAGCAATGTCACCCTTGGGCAGCCTCTAATTAGGCCTGGCATGCCTGAGAAATTACATCTTATGTCCCTCGTTCCTGCTGGGTGAGACAATCAGCCGCTCAATTTCATGCTAGAGTTGCAGCGCATCCGCGGCCCAGCGCTGCGTCGGTGGGCTCCTTTGCCGCCTTCCTGGGCAGAGCGGCTCCCCTCCTAAATGGCGGAGCAGTAGAAGGGGGATGGCACGCTTTCCCCTCCATTAGCGCCTCCTTTGCCCCATTAGCTGCCTGATTCACTGCCGGCCGCCTCTGTGCCCACATTCATTAGCCAGAGACGGGGAGATGGAGCCGGAGGGGAGTGAAGGGGAGGGATCCTGACATTCGTGTATTGACCCCTTGTGCAAGCAAAGGCGCCTTGGCTGGGGGCAACGGCACCCCAGAGGTGCACCAAACACTGGGGCCCCCTCCTAAACATGGATCATGTTATGTCTCCACAGGAAAGCGGACCGAAGCTGAACAAATCCAAAGAGTCAAGTCGGTGTTTATTGGATGTAAGTGGCACAATTCTCCAGGACCAATTGAATGATAATAAAGTGATGGAGGGTGGGGGGATCTTTGAGACTGCTTTGTTGTTCATTCGTTCAGTCGTTTCCGAATCTTCGTGACCTCATGGACCAGCCCACGCCAGAACTCCCTGTCGGCCATCACCACCCCCAACTCCTTCAAGGTCAAGTCAGTCACTTCAAGGATCCCATCCATCCATCTTGTCTTTGGTTGCCCCTCTTCCTTTTTCCTTCCATTTTCCCCAGCATATTGTCCTCTCCAAGCTTTCCTCTCTTCTCATGACGTGGCCAGTGTGGGGCTAAGCTGTGGGTGCTCCCACCCAGCACTCACTTCCACCTGTTCTATCATCAGTGACCCCCCAGCATCCAAATCATGTTGGATGCAATCAGGAAGTAAGCTGATGCAAGCAAGAAATAAGCTTCCTGCTTGCATCTCCAACAGGATCTCAATAGGAGCCTACCTGGCAGACCTGTTGCTGGGGCTAAGCTGTGGGTGCACCCACCCAGTACTCACTTCCACCTGTTGGGAAATAAGAGAAGCCTCCCACAAGGATGGTAAAACACCAAAAGATCCAGGCATCCCCTGGGCAACGTCCTTGCAGACGGCCAATTCTCTCACACCAGAAGCGACTTGCAGTTTCTCAAGTTGCTCCTGACAAAAAAAAAAAAGAAAACAAAAAGCTTCTACCTGTCCTATCATCAGTGATCCCAAACCTTGTAACAACAGGCCTGTCAGGTAGGCCCTTACTTCCTGCTTGCATCAGCTTACTTCCTGCATCCACTTGCGGAGCCAAGGTGCAATTGTTAGCATCCAGGTAAGGTTGGATGCAAGGAGAAAGTAAGCTTCCTGATTGCATCTCCAACAGGACCCCAATAAGAGTCTACCTGGCAGACTTGTTGTTGCGGCCAAACTGTGGGTGCTCCCACCCAGCAGTCACTTCCACATGTTCTATTTTATTTATTTATTTATTTATTTATTTATTTATTATTTATTTATTATTCGAACTTATATGCCGCCACTCCGCTGGGGCTCGGAGCGGCTTACAAGAATGGCTAAAATCTAACACAATTTAAAAACAATATAAAACAATTTAAAAACAGCAATATCAAAATCAAAGGCCTGTCGAAACAGATATGTCTTACATGCCCTGCGGAAAGCTGATAAGTCCCACAAGGCACGGACTTCAGGTGGCAGAGTATTCCAGAGTGATGGTGCCACTGCTGTAAAGGCTCTGCGTCTGGTTGCTGTTAGACGCAAGGTCTTGACACTGGGAATTTCCAATAGATCTTGGTCCTCAGAACGGAGGGATCTCTGGGGTTGGTAGGGGGTGAGGCGGTCCCTCGGGTACATCGGCCCCAGACCATGCAAAGGCTTAAAGGTGAGTACCATCACTTTGAAAGCTCAATTGGTAACCAATGCAACTGTAGTAATATTGGTGTTATGTGGCATCTCATCGGAATTCCTGCAAGAAGCCAAGCAGCTGCATTTTGTACCAACTTGAGCTTCTGGATCACCGACAGAGGAAGGCCAATGTAGAGGACATTACAGTAGTCCAGTCTTGAGATGACCGTAGCCTGGATTAGCTTATCATTAGCCTTGCAACAACAGGCCTGCCAGGTAGGCTCTTACCGGGGCCCTGTTGGAGATGCAGGCAGGAAGCTTACTTCCTTCTTGCATTAGCTTACTACCTGCTTGCACCCAACTTTACTTGGATGCTGGCAATTGTACCTTGATCTCGCAAGCTGCATTAAATAATTTTAAATTATTTTGTATTCATGTTGTTCTGGTTTGTACAGTGTTTGTGTGTCTGTTTGGATAATTATATTTATTTAATTTTATTTTCCAGTTTAGTAACTATTTAGTAACTATTACAGTACTTTATAATTATGCTATTTTGTACTGTTTGACTTATGTGGATGTTGTCTATCAAGGCATTGAATGTTTGCCTTTTTTTTTGGTCTGGAAGCCACCCTGGGTCCCCTTGGGTAGATAGGATGGACTATAAATAAATAATAATTATTATTATTATTATTGACACAAAACCACAGTATGTCATAGCAAACGAGATCTCTGTGCTGGATTTCGTATCACAAAATCACAAGTCAAACATTTCCCCAGCGTCTAGGACTGTGTGATTTATTATTATTATTATTATTATTATTATTATTATTATTATTTGACACAAAAACACAGTATGTCACAGCAAATGAGATTTATATGCTGGATTTCATATCACAAAATCACAAGTTGAACACTTCCCAAGTGTCTAGGACTGTGTGATGTATTTTATTATTATTTTTATTATTTTTATTATTATTATTATTGGTGGCACAGTGGGTTAAACTGCTGAGCTGCTAAACTTGCTGCTCTCTTCTCTGGTCAGCCGTTTGAATCCAGGGAGAGGGGTGAGCTCCCACTGTTAGCCCCAGCTTCTACCAACCTAGCAGTTCGAAAACATGCAAGTGTGAGTAGATCAATAGGTACAGCTTATATGGGAACAGCACTCCATGCAGTCATGCCAGTGGCCACATGACCTTGGAGGTGTCTACGGACAACGCTGGCTCTTTGGCTTAGAAATGAGCACTACCCCCGCAGAGTTGTACTCGACTAGACTTAATGTCAGGATAAACTTTTACATTATTATTATTATTATTATTATTATTATTCAAACTACAAGAAAGGAAATTCCATCTGAACATTAGGAAGAACTTCCTGACTGTGAGAGCCGTTCAGCAGTAGAACTCTCTGCCCCGTAATGTGATGGAGGCTCCCTCTTTGGAAGCTTTTAAACAGAGGCTGGATGTCCATCTGTCAGGGGTGATTTGAATGCAATATTCCTGCTTCTTGGCAGGGGGTTGGACTGGATGGCCCATGAGGTCTCTTCCAACTCTTTGATTCTATGATTCTAGGATTCTATGAGAGTGTGTCCTTGTCTCTGGCCAGCCCCCCTGGAAAGCCTTGGCTACCCCACAGTGATTTTTCATTGTTTGCTTCCCAACGCTCTCCAACATGATGCAAAAAATGTCTCTATCCCCATCTGGAGATTATCCAAATGAAGGATCATGGTCCTTTTGGGGTGGGTTTGCCCCTGAGCCTGCCATGGGCTTGTGGCTGAGACCCGGTCCAGGGCCGTCCCCCATCCATCACCCGCTTGGCATTTGCCACAATGGCTCTGATCCTTCACGCTTCCCCGGACATCCTGGGCCACAATAGGGCTCCGTCCAGTTGCCAAACCCACTGCTGAAGGGCCCAAGGGGATCCTGCCTTTGCTTTGTAAGAAATCCTTTCATTCGTCTGACCCTTCCTTTGTGCTTTCTCCCGCTTTCCCCCACAAAAGGCACTGACCACGTCCCGGATGCCCGAACAGAAGACCCTTTTGAACGGCAAGACCTCTGGCATCCGGTCTTCCTTCCCGGGGCCCCTCTCCGCTCTGCCCTTCCTGCTCATGAAGGCGACATTATAGGAGCAGTGCCCGGCTGCGCAGCGGGAGGAAAGGGCTGCGCAAACCCCTCGTGGCCCATGCAGCAGACGTCGGATAGATGGATGGACGGACGGACGGACCTCTTGGGAGACAAATCCTCTGCCTTTGGGCTGTTTCCTCCGGATTGTTTCCCTTCTCGGATTCCTCCTGGAGACTTCTGCATTGAGAGCACCGGCAAGATACCTTTCACTGTGCAAAAGAGAACGGGGATTCTGGGCTATGGTGTTGCATCCAGAATGCAAAGAGATAGTTTGCTAAAAGATTATGTACAAAAGGATAAGAAGTTTGAAAAATCCATGGAGTCAGTGGAGGCCGGGAGAGACGTGGCATTTGATGACCCTCAGATGGCTATTCAAAGGTCAAGGGGCATTTTGCACCCTCTGTTTGGGAATCTCTTCTCCTTTCTGCCCACTTCTCTGGCTGTTCTTATCCTCAGAGGACCTTTGGGACTGTCTTCACGTTCTGCTCTTGGAGGAAGGAAGGGATGCTGGTGCAGTGAAGGGGGAAAACACTGCAAGGAGAGGGCGAAACAACCTCCCTGGAGAAGCAGCTCCTTCTCCATTGCGCCCGTGGGCATGCCTTGTGGGACATTGGATACCTGGGGCCATGCTGTTGGTGTTGTTTTGGAACTGCCTGCTCCCTCTGAACCATGAAGGGTTTCAGCGTCAGAAGGAAAAGAAGGAAACCTGCTGCCCTGTTGTGGAGCTGGCTGCCCCCTTGCTGTGGGTCTGGCATCCCCTAGCCTTTGGGGGCCTATGCTTTGGGGCAAGGCATACCCCACTTTCCTGGGATTATATACATCTCTCACATATGTGTATCGAGAGAGACCCGAGTTATCTCTATATACATATGTCTATACATATCAATTTGCATATACTCAGTGGCTCCACCTCTCCTTTTCCTCTTTCTTTCTTTCTTTCTTTCTTTCTTTCTTTCTACTACACACAAAAACAATATGAACAAAAATAACCACTGATAAGTATGTATCATTGTAAAGGGTTTTTAAAGAAAACCAACCCAGGGAGCCCCATGGAAGGGAGGAGGCCAAGCCTTTCCCCGCAGTCAGTGGGATCTCAGGCCAAGGAGAGCGGATGGAGCACCGAGTTCATAACTGAAATAAACATACCATGAAGCAAAGCACCTCCTGTTTCGGTCCCCGTCCTTCCCAAACGTCCCCTTCTGCGATTGTGATGCTGCTGCTTGGTGTTTGCGGGTCATATAGGAACAAAAGGTGATTGCAAATGCTCTGGGGCACTATAATAATAACAATAGCAACGACAACAACAATACTTTATTTTTAGACCACCCTCTCTCCCTGAAGGGACTCGGGGTAGGCATTCAATGTCTCAGGTGAATACAAATGCATCAAAATAATCTATATAAATATAAATGTAATGTTTGTTTGTGGGATTAACAGAACTCAAAAACCACTGGACGAATTGACACCAAATTTGGACACAAGACACCTAACAACCCAATGTATGTCCTTCACTCAAAAAAATGATTTTGTCATTTGGGAGTTGTAGTTGCTGGGATTTATAGTTCACCTACAATCAAAGAGCATTCTGGACCCCACCAACGATGGAATTGAACCAAACTTGGCACACATTACTCCCATGACCAACAGAAAATACTGGAAGGGTTTGGTGGGCAGTGTCCTTTGGCTTTGGAGTTGTGAGAATACCTGGAGTTGTGAGGCCACCACGCTTTCCATGACTTTGCCCAAAAAGGGGAGATTGGAAACAGGCCGAAAGTTGTCAAATTTAGTGGGGTCCAATGATGGTTTCTTCAACAGCGGTTTTATCACTGCTTGTTTTAAGCACGCTGGAATCTTGCCTTCCCTAAGGGAGGCATTAACCACCACCGTTACCCACTCAGCCAATCCCCCTCTGGCCTCCTTCAGAAGCCAGGATGGGCAGGGGTCTAGGATGGACGTGGTGGGCCTCATTCCTCCAAGTATCTTGTCCACATCCTCGGGTTTCACAAACTGAAAAGAATCCATCAAAATAGGACAAGCAGGTGCTCTTGTTACATCCACTGAGACTGCATTCAACGCGGTGTCCAGCCCAGAACGGATCGAAGCGACTTTGTCTGCGAAGAACCGAGCAAATGCTTCACAGCGCGTGACCGAATTGTCAGGGCTCCCGCCAGAACTGGCGGGAGTCAAAAGACCTCTAACAATCCGGAACAACTCCGCCGGACGGTTCTTTGCAGACGCAATAGTGGCCGCAAAGAAAGCTTTCTTTGCGGCCTTTATTGCCGCGGCATATGCCCTAAGAAAGGACACAAACCGTGCTCGGTTTGACTCGCTTGGATCCGAACGCCACACGCTCTCTAGTTCCCTCTTCCTTCGCTTCATCACTGCCATCTCCTCAGTGAACCAAGGAGGT